TCCAGTATCTGTACCTTGTGGAGGCTCCCTCCACACGGAATGCAGCTAGCCTGCATAACCAACAGAATATTGCAGAAATTACATTAAGGTTAGCCATGAAAGACATTGTGGATTGCTCACTTTGGAGGAAGCCAGCACCATATTGTGAGGACACTCAAGCAGCCCTGAAGAGGCCCACATGGGGAGGAACTGAGACCCCCTGCCATGACCAGCATTACATAAGTGAGCCCTTGTGGACACAGGTCCTTTATCCTTAGCAGGTCTTCAAGTTACTGCAGCCTTACTCAACATCTTCACTGAAACCTCCTAAGGCACCCTGAGCCAAAACCACCCAGATAAACCATTTCTGAATTCCTGACCCATAGAAATTATGCAGTAATGGGCCAGGGATTTAGCTCAGTGGCACTGCACCTGCCTCGCAAGCACAAGGTCCTGAGTTCAATCCCTGGTACTTCAAAAAAAAAAAAAAAAGAAGAAGGAAAGAACATAAATGTTGGTTGTTTTAAGCCACTGAGTTTCAGGGTAATTTGTTACGCATCAGTAGACAACAAATTGAGAATTCATGAACTTTTGCACCCTGCTGAATTGCAAAGTTTTGCCAATATCAGTGGGTCAGAGAAATACTTCTAACATTCACATTTGTATGCCAAAAAGCAGAAATATGAAATAACAGTCATTCAAGATCCCTATAGGTAGAGACCTTGTGGGTTTAGGAGAGAATATGGGGTAGATCATCAATAGTTGCCTGAGTTTCTGATTTTCTCATTACGGTGACTAGGTACAATTTGTTGATCATTCAGTCTGATCCATTGTTCAGCTACTAACTTCTGTGAGAATTGGGGAAAAAATAATGGATCATACTTTCAGGTGTTGGGTAATTTTGTTTAGAGGTAATAGACAACATTGGAATCAAATGGCTATTACTGGCACATCTCCCACAATTCACAATACAGAAATCCACATCATCCAAGCACCACAGTTTATGTTGAATACTAAAACGAACCAGGGCTATGAAGTCTGCAACCTTGGCAGTGTTTGATTGCTGTGTCTACCTGGCCTGGCGGTACCTTTCTTCTAATTCACCTAAGTCAAAAAAGCACAAGATTTCGTGGAAAATCGGTGATTGAAGTCAACAGCGCCTATTGGGCTGTGCTCTCTGGGCAATGCAGATCCTCATGTCCTGCCTGGGTAGTCAGGGACAGGAAGCCCAGGCTACAAAATCTAAGCCAAGCCCCTTATGTGGCTGAATTCACCTCCAGTACAAGAAGGTCAGCATTTGATGGGAAGAAATATGTATTGTGTGTTTTCTGGACATGTTTCAGATAAAAACTTTTGTTCCAAAGATGAGCTATTATAAATTGACCCTAGAAAATGCTGGGCATGGAAAAGGGAAAGCATGGGTGAATGAGGGGGCAAGAGAATGCACAGGACACCTCTGGTTGCCAAAGCTGCTGGACAGTCAGATCCGCATGCTCTTGTGTATTTCTCATGGTGCCAGCGCCCTCTCCCTCACCGCCTCTGGAGGTGTGCAGGCTAAAAGCATTTGGGAGCATCAGCTCTGTGCCTGATATTTATCTCAGCCAAGGGCTTTGCCTCTGGAACTTGCTATCTCAGGAATACATGCCTGGGATCCAGCTTCAATTTCTGTCACAATAATCCTTTGCCTCGTCTCCAGTTATATGAAAATCAACCCTACCATAAGCCTGTTGTTTGATATCTTAAGGAAGTACAACTTGTTAATCAAATTAAGTGGGTCTGTCACTGAGGTAATATGTGTTCTGTCACAAAGGCCAGTATATTGGGTTCATGATAAGCTTCACTCTAACAGAGCAAGTGTGGTTATCAGCACAGAGTTGCTCAAATTCAATTTGGCCACTTCTCAGCCCAGTTTGAGACCTCTTTTTAAAAAACTGGTTACAAGGGAAAGAGCACAAGACTGGAATGCAGTGGCCAGTGTTCTGGTTCTAGTCCTTTAAATAACTCTGTGTTCTCCATATCTGACTCCAGAAGGGACCTGCCCTCCTGTGTTTCACATGCCAATTCCATGGACAGGAGCTCTTTGAGGGCTGAGGCTGTTTGCTCTTTTTCACATCCCACTGCTTGGCAGGGGCACTGCCAATGACCGAAAAAGTAAATAAGCTCATCTATCTGTGCATATTCACACACGTCTATATGTGGGCAGACGAGTGTGAAAGGAAGTATATGAGGATCTGTCCCATGCTGTCAGCATGGGGGTTGAAGATAATGTAGATGGTGCAGGGGAGGGAAGGAGGTGGGGAAAGCCAAGCAACAGAAGAAAGAAGACTGGCCTGAAAAGGCCTAGATGCAAAACATGATCTTCTTGTAGAAGTATGTGTATGTATGCATAAATAAATTAAGGGGAAATGATAATGTGCTACATTAAGGGAAAGCAAGTTGCAGACTATTTCAGTTAAGAACTACAAACAAAAACATCCCATATATCTTTTATATGTGCATAATTAGGTTTAAATGAGCAAAAGGAGGGTGTGTGCTGTGGGCCATGGGAGACACCACCCAAGCGAGACACTTGATGCCACAGCTGCTGGGAGTGTTGGCTGCCTATGGCTCCCAGCTGAGTTCCTCTGCAGCCATTGCCCTCAGACAGAAGGAGCTTATTTACCCAAAGTTGTGCCCATCTCCTCTGGACCGGCAGCTCACATGCAAGACTGGCCCATATGGGGCCCAAAAGCCTCGATCCTTTCTCAGTGCAGGTCAGCTCAGTGTGCCTCCTGGCTGGTTCAAGAGTGAGCCCAGGGAAACTTTTAGGTGCATATCCAGTGCCCATCTGTTTTCTGAGAAACTATGACAGGGTAAAGGATACATGCTAGTCTATTAAAATATTACCTAAGGGACAAAGACGGGGAGAAATGATTGGCTTTTTTTTCACGTTGATTATCTTATTACTGTAAGCATGTATCACCTTTCCAATTTTAAGAATATCAAAGACATTTTAAACCATAATAAACATGTTAGTTGTTGATGAATGAATGTGTCTATATCTTGTTGGAGAAATAGATAACAATAAAATGCTATGTTGATAGATAGCCAGTGCTTTTTTTGTTTGGTTGGTTGGTTTTTTGGTTTTTTTGAGGCAGTGCCTCCCTTTGTAGTTCAGGCTGGCCCTGAACTCACTATATAGCCCAGGCTGGCCTTGAACTCATGGTGATCCTCCTGCCTCAGCCTCCTGAATACTAGGATTATAGGTGTGCTCCACCAAGTCTGGCTGGGTATCCAGTGTTTAATGAACTCAATTGTAGGAGATTTTTGCCCACACTTTTGATAACTTTTGACTTATTTGGTTCAAAATAGATTGGACCAGCTTTCTGAGAGCGAGGTCACCACCTTTACAGATAGGATATGAAAAAAGTCAATAGTAGGAGGAAAAAATGAGAGGGAGTTTTAATTCCATGAAAGGAGAAATTGTCTAATATCAGAGCTCTGTCTTCAAAACAGGCTGAAAATTTTGTACACTTACTATCCAAATTACACTATCCAAAGAACTATGATTATTTTCATTTGGCAAACAGATAGATTAGAATTGGAAGAGGAAAATACCTGGTATCTTTGTGATCTGCATTGCCTCTCCATCTCAGGCACCAGCAAACCCCAAGACCATTCCTTTCCCAATGATGTGACCTCAGAATCTTTCACAACCCCACTCTGCAGGGAGCCTGCTGATACATTGGAGTGTCCACTAGAGACACAGTCTGTGCCCTTCCAGAACTGAATGACCTTTACCCTTCCTCCAATTCTGAGGTTCCATGAGGTCCTCCATTCATTCCAGAAACAACTTAGATGATCAAGTCCATACTTTAGCTAGATCCTTGCTCCTTTCTCTCTCCCACAGACTCCAATCAAGTTTTTCAAATGCATCCTCTTTAGATGCTTATAAATGAGATCCTTGAGGCTTAGCAGGGCTTGTGAGAAGGAACCCCTTGACAGCATAATTATCAAGTTACCAACTGTGTTGACAGATACTTAGGAATTGTGTAGGGGAAAGCCTGGTCCAAGTTCTACATAGGACCCTTGATTAAAGACTGACAAATGTGCTCATTCAGAAGCTTCCCACTTACAGTAGATGCTCCTGCTTATTGTAGTGGTGATTCGAACCTGAGAGAATTACTCTGCATTCAATCATCTATTCATTCGCTCTTTTGTGTGCTGTCACTGTGTTTGGGACAAGAGCTAAAGCAGGGAGTGGGACAAAGACTTAAGGAGAGTCCAGAGAGTCCTTGAAAGACGGGATTGAAAGTGACACACTTAAAAATGTTTATGATAAATGGGCGACTTTCATGACAGGACTGTTCAACATGCTGAGGATATTAAGGGTAAGAAAGGGGCTCGGTTTGGAGAGAAAAGGGATTAGATGGGAAGAAGCTTCCTGGAGGAAATGCAAAGCATTTGTCATAATCAGATCATCTAAGTATGTGCTACAGTCATTTTCAAAGAGCCTAGATTTGTGGTATAAAGCACATTTCTGAACCAAGAGAGAGTATGTAAAGGTGCAAATTTTCAATGATGAATGTCATTATATTGTATACCTAAAATGTACCAATAAAATTAAATTAAAAATAAAATAAAATAAAAAACTAAATAAAGCACATTTCTGGGTTTAAAATCATTCTATAGATTTTTTTTTTTTTGTACCAGGGATCGAACTCAGTACCTTGCACTTGCAAGGCAGATGGCAGAACCACTGAGCTAAATCCCCGGCCCCATTCTATACAATTTTTACTTTAAATATTTACCATGTTATTGAAAAACTGTAAAAATGAATTTTAAAAATTAGTGAAATAAATTAAACTCTGAAGAGAAAAAATAACTTACTAAGCAACAGTTGTCTTTGTCTTAGAAATCTTAGATGGTACAACTCCAATTTGATTTAAAAGGAAATAAAGTGTTTGGATGAGAAAGGGAAACCGAGGTTCCTTGTTTTGAAGCCATAAATGTATTTCTTCATCACCTTCTTTCTGTTTCAGGTATCCATATCATCCTAACTCCACAGAGGACAGATCCTTTTGAAGTTAGGGTTAAAGAACGTGTGGTTAAGAGAAAACATCGGAAACACCATCAGGAAAGGTACCGTTGGCTGTGAATCTTTTATCATTCATCATTCCAATGGCCAGCTGGAGGCTTTCACTAGAACTGCATCTTTCCAGGGCTCTGAGACCCTTTGTCACTAAAACAACACCCTGGGGGAGCAATGTCCCCCGAAATGAGGTGGCCAACCGCATCTGTTCCTCTAGGCTCCACACAGTCTCTGACAATGGAGGAAGTTGGTACTGAGGTTCTGGGCTTCTCATAAAATATTTCTGAAATGCATTTCATGATACCGTTGGTAATAAAAGTGCGTTAGTGTGCTCAGTGCCTCCAAGAGGCTAGCCTTGTTTCCCAGCCCGCCCATGTCTGCACTGGGCCTGCATGAATCAGTGCTAAATTATTCACCAGCCTGGCTCTAAAATTTCTGGAGTTCCAAAACCCCTAATAAAGTATTATGAAAAAATATCCATCTCTTTATCTCTATCCATAACTATTTACACGGCTAGAGGGAAAAAACCCTGTCATTTTAGTTCTTTTAATTTAAAAGCTTTCCTAATTCCTTTTTCCTATCACATGTATATGTCTAAAGAATTTTCAGGTTGAAATAATAACCTCTAAAAAACAGTCCACAGGAGAAGGCTCTCAGGATTCACAGAGTTGACAAGCACAATGAATATTTTGCTCCCTTAATAACTTTCCATGGCACTCAAACCTGATTCACTGGATTAGGGACTTTTCAAACAGGCATGGCCCTGTTTTATTGTGCAAAACAATGATAATGTACCCACCAACCTTCCCCCTCTATTTGTTTATACAATTGGTAAAGTTTGTTCAGGAAAAACTCATTTCCTCCCTGAGACTCATCATGTACTCAGTACCCATCATGGTATTCTACAGACAAAAGGCAAGTCTTTTCTGAAGCTTTGCATGTGAATCCACCCAGAATATCCTCCTTGGCAGCTAGATGCATTAGTGGGCATGAGACACTTGACCACTAAGTACACCAGGACATTTAAAACATCTTTCACTATTCAAAGTCACAAGAGACATCATCACATGAAGCTGGCTGTCAGCCATCCATATTAGAGGGTAAATTGATTAATGGGATGCTTCTAGGCTACCAGTTGGTTGAGCTCAAGTTTTCTCTAACCAAATGGAGCTGGAACAGGGCAGACCAGCAATTAGGAGAACCTGTCACAGAAGCATCAGTGGAGATGTATTAAAATGGAGATATTTTTCCCTTATCAGCACTCTGCTCAGAGAAAATACTTCCATAGATAAGGGAATATTTGACAAACCACTTGCAATGGAGCATTAAACTTCCCACCCAAAGAAATTTCTCCAGTGTAAACACTTGGCAGTATATTGACTTCTTAGTAAAGATTCGATGTAAACATGTGATGCGGGGTGCTGTCGCCCTCCTCTAGTAAGATGTGGAAGAAAGAGTTAAAGAATATTGATTTGAATGTAAGACAGGATATTAACATGACAGGACACCTATGTACTTTCATCCAGCCCTGCTATCTGAGGCCTTTGGTGGATGGGTTGGAAAGGTGAGAGGGAGCCCAAGGCTGTGAATGAGGCTCTGGCTGGGGGTGGGCTGAGAAATGGTACACAGAGGCAGGCAGTGGGGAGGGAAGGACAACTGAAGACCAATAGAACTCTTACATCTGGAGATGGCTGCACTCCAGCAAGCGGGACCTCACCCTTGGTCTCATTTTGGAAATCAACCCACAGGCTGAGCCAAGAATGCTCATGAACAAGATGAGCTTATTGTTCACAGCGTGGGCAGGGCAGGGGAGGATTAGGATCCAACATTAAACCACAGAGCCCTGTGCACACCAGGAGCAGGGCCCATTTTAGTGTAGACCTTACAGAAGTCCGTGAGCCCAGGGAAAGGCAAACCAAGGTGCATGGGAGGAGCTGACCTTGAAGGTAGCTAACAGCTGCCTGGGGCCCAGGCAGGCCTGGAGGGTCCAGCTGGCTCCTCAGCTTGCCAAGCAGTGTTCAGAGGTAGCCATCAAAGCACCAGCTGTTCCGTTAGGTTTGCAGGCCACCTGCTGGCACAGAGGCCTTCTACCTTTCCCTGCTGGGCTTTGTCCCACATGTACAATCGTCTTCATAGGAAAACACTACGGGTCCAGACTCACTTTCTGTCTCTTGCGCTCACTCACAAACTGCTTACTAATATGACCTGGTGTTGGAATTGCAAGAAGGCAGGGAGGTGTCTCACAGCTCCGTGGCATTTCAAACCCAGGTACATTTACGAGGAGAGTCTGAACTGCCTGGTTCAGCTTGCTTCTATCTTACCTTCAATCCCTATGCATTTGCAAGCAGCTTATTTCAAGAGCTGATTAGATGAACCTTAATAACATTAGAACTTAAATGGCCCCAGATAGGCTTTCAGCTTCTTGCCAAATTGAGATAAATGTGATATTTGGGGAACTGAGCTCCCAGCTTGTGGCTGCTCTGGTCTGTGCACAGGTTCTGAAGCATTCTACTTCCTCCCGTGGCTCTTCGCAGCCTAAAATTGGGTTTGTGTTCATCTTTCAGGTCCTTTTCATGTCTCGGGGTCTGTGATTCTGTGTGTAAGTGAGTCTCTATGATCATGCATTTTCAAAGAAAGCTAATTTGGGGATAAGGGGCCCCAGACAGAATTTTATCTTTCAGTTATGATAAACTATGGCAAAACTCTTTGTGCCTCCACATCTCCTGGACACTTTCTTTTAGTTTAGGCCACAACTTTTACTGGGCAACTATTATTTAGTTATTTAATTCAATGTTAATTTTGTTAATATCATACTTTAACCAAGAATCATATAAAATGGTCAGAAATGTGAATGTCTCATTGCATGAAGATGTTCATCACCTTCTGTAACTCCTATGAGTGGGTTCATGTTCCAGAGTAAAAATGCAGCCATCAAGTAAATAGTTATAGCTTTCTGACCTAATACCCTTCTATGAAGTTTAGAAAAAGGTAAGTCAGAACATAAAAAGGAAAGAAAAACTAAAACCAATGGTAAATAAAAAACATAGTTCAGTGTTGAAGTAAATGTATTCTTATAAACAAAAAAAAATGAGTTTTCTTCTCTTACTCTTTCCCCACCCACACCAGATATCTAGGTATCTCCAGAATATCTAGAAACTCTTGAAAACATGCTTTATCTTTCTGCATGTGGGTGGTCATTCAAGAAATGTCATTGAGCCTAAGTTTTTGAAAGCTTTTGGAAAGCTCAACAAAAGTAGCTGCCCTTTTGGCTTTTCAGAAGAAGTTAAACCTTGAGCTTAAACCTTGCATTTGCTTCGCATTTGGGTGGGAAAATACCACCTGCCATGTTTTCTGGAATGGAAGCTAAGATGCCACCCAGGAGAAGGGAGAGCCGGGGTGTGGGAAAAGCTGCGGGCAAGCCCGCTCCACTTGCTCTGGCTCAGGGAATCCAAAGCTCATGCCAGGCTTTGGGGAGCACTGAGGGATTTTGAAAGGATTTAAACTGTGGCTGGGAACAGAATTGAATGTGGATGGCTTCTTGGGCTGCCTGATAAAACTAGGGCCAGAGAATCTCAGCAAAGTACAACTGTAGAATCACAGTGCATAACTCTATCCCAAACTCCCATCAATCAGGACTCATATGACTGTTCCATGTGGAAGGGGAACAAAGAATATCAGAGATACTGGCAGAGCCTTCAGGCTTAGCCTTGCACCCTCAGGAAAATAAACATTCCATCCTGTTGTGATACACTTTCATAATGAGCATATTATCAAAGAGGTCATTGCTCATGACAATACTTTCCTAATACTGTATTTGTGTTTTCTCTCAGCATCATGTGATTTACATGTAAAAAAAGAAATTAATGATATTATATGTGTTAGCCAGAATTTTGCCTGCAAGTTCCCCTTTTCTTTGGCTAAGCCTGGGGAAAAGAAAGAGCTTTCTTAACCTGCGTAGTGGTGCACGCCTGGAATCCCAGCACTTTAGGAGGCTGAGCCAGGAGGATCACAGGTTAGAGCCCAACCCAGCACTCAGCACTCAGACCTCATCTCAGAGTTAAAGAACAAAAATGAACGGGGATATAGCTCAGTGCATAGGCCCTGCATTCAATCCCAAGTAGCACACGCACGCGCATACACACACACACACACACACACACACACACAGCCTTGTTAATTTCTTTCCCGGTTTCCTGTGGATGCCTTTACACAGACATCTTCCTTAATCTGCCCTTATCTTGTCTCTTCACAGAGAAAGCCTCCCCAAAGGCTGGCTTTTCCCGAGCCCTCAGTGCCTCCCTCACCCATCTCCTCTAGGGTCTGATCCATCCATTGTCCCTTTCCTCATTTACAGTTTCTCTCACTTTCTCTAAATTCTTTTTTTTCTACTTACAGATGAGTCTCATCACCATAAAACAAACAAACCCTAACCCTTGATTTCCTCTCTGTGGTCTCCTTTTATTGTGGAAAAATATTCTATTTCACTTCTCACATTTATTCACCTTTGATCCTGTGAAAAACGGAACATTCTCCCCATCCATGTAACAAGTTCAATGCAATTCAGGAAACGTGCATTGAACACATACTATGTGCCAAGTCTAGTCTGGATTCTGACCACAAGCAGAACCTACTCTTACACAAAAGGCAAGCATGCCTACTATCTCTTGAGCCAAATGACAAAGCAGGGCAGTAAGTGAAGAGACACCAGCAAGTACTACAGAGAGGAAGGGTGTGAACTGTCAGCCCTGCCTTGGAGGAAGATTGCAGCAAGGCAAGTTTCATAGGAGTTTCCAAATGAGGAATCCAAGAGAGGAAAAGGAAGAGAGAAGAGGAGTCAGCCTAGGTAGAAGGAACAGCATAGACAAGGTCACTGAGGTCACTGGGACCCAAGCCACATAGCATGTGACTGACAGCTTATATATGGCGGGGAGACAAGACATGTTGAGGCTGCAGAGGCTGACAGATGCTTAGACCTTATGTGTGAGATCTTGAGAAACAGTAACTGCTTCTTCCAGACAAAGGGAACATGGGAGGGTTTATGGGTGGGGAA